GGCCTTGATCAGCACGCGCAAATGGAGAAGGTTGATGAGGATAGCGCTCGGTCGAACGAGAATGTGAGGCAGGGTCGACGAGTCGATCTTGCGAAGGTCTCGAGGCAGGAGGCCGTACTAGTCTCGTTAGTTTTCTGGGCTTTTCAGCGCAATGTCGCAGGATATAAATCACCCACCTTCGCGATTAGCTCGCTCTTCCGAAACTCTCCATTAACCAGTGTGACGTTTCCATTGTTATCGAACTCGGTGCAGCGCAGCCGCAGCTCGTTCGAGGCCTTTGCCGCTAACCCACGAATGTTTCCCTCCGGAGTAGTATCATCAATCAAGGCAGGCCCGCTGGGACGGTGGAGCTTCGGTTCCGTGTTCGCTTTGCTCTGTCGAAGGCCAAACAGTCTGCGAAGTAGCGGTCGACTTTTTGTGTGCGAAGCTCGCGAGAACAGGGTGGAGGATGTTGACTGGCTCAAGGGAATGCGGCATCGCGAATCACCACGGCTCCGGGAAAGGGCCGACAGCGGAAGCAAGCCCGCTGTGGCGCGACAATATGCTGGATTTACACGGGCCCAGCTGGATGCAGATCTCAGGGAAATCATATGCGATGCGTTTGTATTTGGTTGTGGTTTGCGAGAGCTACCGCATGGTGATGGATGTGCTGTGAAGAGGGAATGCTCGGACTGAGAGCGCAGATATCGGAGAAGAGATGTTGAAGGAACAGTTGGTTTCAAGTGAGGCGGAGATAGCATTTCGAGCCTTGTTTTGGAGTAACAAAGCCGTCAATGAATCGGATCACCGTCTTTGTTCTTGTGAATGATCGGCGATGGTCTTCCGTTTACTTTTTTTTATCCAATCAAAGTTACGGCGGGATCAATGATGTTCCGCCTCTATACATCACAATTTATCCCTACTAGTCTACCCTACATGTAATTTTCTTTTCTTTTTTGATTGGTGAATTTCGATTTTTATACTATCCTCACAAAGCCTCGGATCTCCACTTTGAAGGAGTTTTGTAAAACAAAAAAGAAAATAAAAATAAATCAACGCTGCAATATGTAGGTATCAAGCGAAACTAGACGAATCTAACCCACGGCAACATGTAAACAAGCTTTCCCTCAAATGCAACAAATAACCTCTCACCAATCATCGTCATCATCCTTTTCGTCATCTACAAAAAATAATTAGCGCATATTCTCAAACAACACCAAGTAGAAAAACTTACCGCTACCGCTGACTTTTTGTTTTCTCTTGTCCAGAGCCGCTTTAAGAGCATCAGCCATACCTCCTTGCGGGCCTCCACTGCTGGATGCGGCTGCGGATGATTCGCTGGCACCCCCAGGAACCATCGCCCCACTACGATCCTTCTTGTCCGAGGCTTTGACCTTCCGTAGACCTCCACCGCCTTGTCCTCCGGACGCTCTAATGGCAGCCATAAGGTCGTCTCGTCCACCCGCAGGCTTGGGCAACGGAGGTGCTGCTCCACCCGCAGATGGAGGAGGAGGGGGTGCACCGGCCCCCGGGGGCGGTGGCGGTGGTGGCGGCGCACCCCCTGCCGGTGCTGGAGGCGGTGGTGGAGGAGCAGGCGGCCCCTTGCTTCCTGGAGGAGGCGGGGGAGGTGGAGGGGCGCCAGAAGAGGGAGGAGGTGGCGGCGGCGGAGGAGCACCACTTCCAGGTACTGGTGGTGGCGGCGGAGGAGCAGGAGGTCCTCTGCTCGATGGAGGCGGCGGTGGGGGAGGAATACTCGCGGCAGGAGGGGGCGGCGGAGGAGGGGGAGCAGATGAACCGGTGCTGGATGAAATTGGTGCTGGAGGTGGCGGTGGAACACTTGCTACAGGTGGTGGGGGTGGTGGTGCAGGACTTGATGTAGGTGGCGGAGGAGTAGGCCGAGAAGCAGATGGCACAGGTGGTGGGGGAGGAGGCTGGCTAGCAGGGCTTCGAGGGGGTGGAGGAGGGGGTGCTGCCGTCGAAGCATGGGGGACTTTGGGAGGAAGCTGTGGGGGTGTCGCAGGGCTGGACGTGCGAGGAGGAGGTCGTGGGGGTGGCCCTGGAGGTGCTGCGTTACGACTCGGCGGTGCGGGAGGAGCAGACACCTTTCGCTCTCCATGGAACGGTGGAGGCACTCCGAACCGAGGCTGGCTGTCATCCATCGGAGTCTTTGGCGGCCGCGGCGGGGGAGGGGGGCCAGGAGTTGCGCCCGACGCTGCGCGTGGGCGATTAGGAAGCATCGGACCATTGCTGTAGGCAAATTTGCCTGCATCCGCAATTGGCGGCGGCGCTCTGAATCTCGGCCTTGGGGGAGATGGCTCACGACTCGACGCTGGATCGTCCTCCACTTTGTTACGAGTCCCTCGCGATGGCGGCGGTGGCGGCGGCGCACCTCGACGGCTACCGCTACCTGAGCTATTGCCGGTATGTTGCGGGCTTATAGAACTGCTCTTGGGAGCAGGAGGAGCCGAAGGAGGTGGCGGTGGTGGAGCCTTTCCTCTCTTGTCTTCAGCAGGGGATGGCGCCGTCACAGACCTACCCAGGTTATCCTCAATATAGGATTTAATGAAGTCGGAATCCCCCGCAATTTGGTCCTCGGTGATCCCCATGTTAATGAGCTCATCCAGGAGAGCTCTCACCGCCGGATCATTAGTGTCAAAGGGCAGGGCATTCTGCGGGGGAGCACTTGGTGGGGGCGGGGCAATTTGAATTGATGGCGCTGGAGGAGGCGCTGACGGGGGAGCTGCTGGAGGTGCGCCGGATCCTGAGGATGAACGATGACCGAGCAAGCTGCCAAAGATTGACCGTCCGACGCCAGATTTACCATTTGTCATGGGAGCAGGGCCTTGACCACGAGTGGATGCGAATGGGGTCAGTCGAGTCTCTTTGCTGGCATTCTTCTCTCGCTCGTGCATTTTCTTGATGAATGTTTTAGCCTCCTTCTCATCCACAAAGGACAGACCAGCTGCACACTCTTCAAGCTCAAAGGTGTGAAAGAAGGTTCGGTCTTGATTGTAAGGAAAATTGTCGTAGATTTCCTGGTCCCAGATCACACCTCGTCCAGCAGGCTGCGGCTCGGAACAAGCGGAATTGTCAGTTCTCTGTCTCTTGCACAATCTAGAGACCTGTTTGGGCGGAGACAGATACTTACCGATACATCGACCAATTTCAACCAAAAGGTGCGCCCGACCAGATCATTCGCCAGGACGGCGGCACCCTGAAGACCTGTATATGTCCATCTCTGAGGATCTGGATAGGCCACATACAGTCGCGCGACAGCTACTGCATGGATCTTATTCTGAGGTTTCGGTACATTCCTCTTGACGGTTTCTTTGTCGGCGTCACTCAGGATGGATGGCATGACGGACCACGGAATGCGTCAGGGAGGTTTTAGGGGAGAACGGTTTTAAAGGAAGTACAGCGCCAGTAAAATATTTTCAAGTAACTTCCCGAAGACGCATTGCAGGAATGAGGCGAAGTTGCTCTAGGCAGAAGGGTTCACTGTGCGCCCGAGTTTCCAGGCACAAATAATGGGCGATGACCCGTGACGAATCCGCACGTAAGAACGAGGGCGGAGTTCCGGTTTAATTTTAAATTTCTCGAGTCTTCAATCGAGTTCTCCGGAATGCGGAGGTAATTGAGTAATATGAAGACAATCCAGTATCCGAATAATCGGGTCGAATGGGTAGAAATAGGTTTGAGTTGGTGGGTGTTGGAGAACTCAGCCTCGAGGGGGGGGGGGGGTTAGAAAAGAGGTCAAGTTAGCAGGAAGAGGAGAGAAGGCACACTACCACTAATAGTCCGCTCCTAAGAACACAGCACCCAACTAACACCGTCTCAAGTCCCACTTCAGGTCCCGAGTGGAGAACGGGGAGCCATGTAAGGCATATATTATATCTTCCGAATATTCTAGGGACTCTATCCCTTTTCTCTTTTCGATCAATCAACCTGAATGAACACCAGAGCCTGAATAATTGCGGGCTTTGAATTGAAGCAAAAATCAAGGACAAGGGAACAAAGTATTACGTAGTGTTAGTAGTGTTAGCGCCGAAGTCATTCAATGCGATTTCCAGCTTAGTGTCTATTAGTGCATTTCCATCTCTGAATCACATGACCATCTACCCTGCGCAATGGGAAGGCGGTCAGTGCACACTTCTTGACTAAATTAGGATAAAAGGGTGGCCGCCTTTACTGAGTGCTGTAGCATTAAGGCGGCGACACTTGTATTGCGCAAATGCAATAGGTGAACTTGACACCAATAGCCCAGTGATACACCCTATTCACTAACTTAATTACAATTTGACAGCGACAATGGCTTCTTATTTGTCAGCCTTTCAAAAATGAAAAGTATTAAACTTAAACCACTCGTGCAACAACCCAATGTAGGCAAATCCCCGTTGACGTCATACCTCTTCCGACCATCTACTATTAAAGAAACAAAACCTACTAACCCGTCCACTTCCATCGATACAACAACCCTAACTCTTCTTTACTATCCTCTAAGTTCCGATTCCAGAGCGCCCAGCTTACAAGACTAGCCCTCTCATTCTATAATAACACTTAACTATTCCAAATCCCAACAAACATGCCCGTCATACCATCCGACACTACCCACTTCCCATCCCAGGGTAGTAGCAACAGTAACCCCAACCAGGATAATTCCACCGACAAGCCTAAAGCCACTATCCAAGACTATATCTCAAAGGGACCTCATATTCCAGACAGTACGCGCTAACCCTGCGTCCAAGATAGCAAATAGACCATATCACTGACAGCAGCAGACATGCCACCCAAGGCTTCGAGAGAAGAAATCGAAGCTCGGAAGAAGGAATTGAATGGATAGCTCCGGCCCATTCATACACTCATATGGTTAACATGGTACTATGCTGATTATGATGTTATGCGTGTATTGTACTTTACTGTCCAATTAAGTATCTGCTATCTACTCTATCTGGTTTCCTTCGAACGAGTAAACTAACCAATAGTGGAGACAAAAAGAACACAGCTAAAAAAAAAGAAAGGTGTGCCCCCACACCGGTTCGAACGATGGACCTCTTCATAGCACCTTGTTGGTACACTACGCTAGGACAATTAATATGTGAACATCATGGGAGATTTTGTGTTGATTCAACTTACAGTGAAGCGCTCTACCACTGAGCTATAAGGGCGAATAGTTGCCGTTAGTCATCGGCGAGAGATTTTGTGTACATTGAATGTCACTTTATTGCGAGTATCTATATTGTTGGGTGTTTTACTGGGAAATGAGTTGAAAATGCAATTAACTAATCATGGACGGGCTGTTCGATGTGAGAGGCAATGATGAAGGTTTCTAGTACACCAACATCATCGTTGAAAGCACCCGAGTAAGAAACAAGCCGTCTCTAAAGAGTTCAATCAACCCTACTAATTTTAAAACATAGATCCTGGCAAGCATGGGTATAAAGGCGATGAAAGAGAAAGGATCTTACGATGAAGGTTGGGGTGCAGCTGCGGCCGGTCTATCCTATGGGTGATCCTGTTCTTACCTCAACCCGTTCACGCCTGGGGTTGTTTTGCAAGTCGAGTGATTCAAAAAATTGTTCAGATTGACAAGCTAATTATCAGAGTCCCTAATGGAAAAGTGGTGGAATCCAATGCCAAATTATGACTAATTCACAGTCCGGCATGTGTTTGTTCATATCCTCTAGATCTACCTAGATCAGTCGAATGGAGTCAGTGCTGCCAATGAAGCCTTATAGCCCTGAATCCAATGTATAGATGAGAGAAAAGACCGTGTACAAAACCAGAAGTAAGCCAACTCTGAATCATGTGAAGTATACACGCCTGTGACAAAGGCGCTGGTTTCACCAATGCAATAACCGCTTCGCGCGTTCCCTCATCAAATGCCATAACCACTTCCCCGCTTCGTCTACATCTAGCCGGCAAACGATGTGTGTCATGATAAGAAATGGTACTGCAAATACGATATACCACCAAATTTGCAATTCACCTTGTTCGAAGACAGCCAAGTTCATACCAAACAAACTCGCTGTAAAAGACAAGGGAATGAAGTAGGTGGCCAAGAGCGTCAGTTTTTTAGTTCGCTGCGCCTGTTCGATTGCCCTTCTGGAATCCAAAACCATGGTTTGGTTCATAGTCATATTCATAGCAGTGGCACATCGATTGGAAAGATACGTGCAGGTGGCCAGAAGATCTTCGTAATCATTCAGAACCCCACTGATCGAAAACGTAGTCAATGCAGTAGATAAGTGATATTGTGGATGGTCTTTCTCCACAATAGGTTCCCTATCACTCAGGGGGCTGCCAGTTCTCCTTGGCGAAGTACCGTCCTGCTGCCGAAGATCTGATGTACTTCGATAGCCTTGACGATGATGTGGTCCACGAACGTTCATTAGCAGCCGAATAGCTCGTACGCAGTGTTGTAGCTGCCTTGTATGCCTTTCGAGGACACCCTCCAAATATTGGAGGTTTTCATATGCATAACTCGGGCTCCTGTTGGGCATTAACATCTCCATTTCTTTCTCGACTAGGTCCCGCAGGAGATTCAGAAATGACACTTCGGAGAATGCTGCATGGGAGAATATTGGAATGAGGGCATGCAGCGGATTAGACCTAGCTCGGTTGGCGAGATCAACGGCGGATAGTAGGGCTGGGTAGTTTTGGGGTAGAATCGACATGCTTTGGGGGGCCGTAACGTTTGGTAATCCGAAGGTAGTGCCTTGGTCACCATCTCCTACCTTTCGGAACGTCATCCTACGATGGTGCTGGATCACAGGAAAGGTTGAGGCTCTTGGGCCCAATGCGTCGATCCATGGGCCGGCGGGACTATTGTGTAAATCCCTCGCACAGTCCATCCAAACTAACACTGATATTGGTCAGCAAACGACATTTTATGCGCAAATAATTCATATTCTCACCAATCCACCCGCCTTCAGCTTGATTAATGGAAATCGAAATTTTTTGTTCAATCACAGAAATTTGTTCACTCAAGATGGTATATTCCCGCACTAGGGAGTCGCCTGGACGTGCTCGGCTTGAAAGAAGTCGCTTATATTTTGCGATTTGATTGGGAACATTTGCTCGATGTTGTACCAAGTGATTCTTGGACATGGACTGAACATGGCCCTGGCAGATGATGGTGTTCACATAGACGTCGATTATATTGGTCGTGGTACTGACCAACGAAGGCAAACTAAAGCAATGGCGATAGACCGATGAGGCAAAGAAGTTGAGGTGACGGTGAAAGAATTCAGGGTCAATACGATATTTGCTCCCAATTTCAGCGATCCACTGGGGAGAGAGAAAGCCGTGTATGAAAAGTAAATGTCCCTGTCCTTCTTCTGGATATGGATGGGACGCGAAAATAGCAAGATGATCCTGAGAAAAATGCCAAGTCTGTTCTGAGCCCTGAGTACACATGTCATGGAGAGTAGCCATGTATTCCTGTCCCTGTTGGGCGCCATCCTCTAGCTTGATATGTTCATCTCTGGATTGCAATAACCAGGTGGCGAGATCGATGTAACTCTGACCGGGAAAGACAGATTTGACGATCGAGCGTTGGGAGTGAGCGTAGATAGACTGGACATATTGCTGTGGACTGACTGCTTGTAGATTTGAGTTAGAAGTCTAAACAATAGATAGGGTAGGCATCAGATTCCCACCGCTGTTTTTCTATTTGAATATATGGGGGGAGAAGGCAGGACTAACCTCGCACTCGTTTCCTCTGACCACTTGTTTGTGAGCTATCGGAAGATGCAATTCTTGGTTGTAACTCAGATGTCTCCCCATCCTTGTCCTCTGCCGGTGTGTGGCTTTGGCGAATTCCTGAATCACTTCGGGATCCAAGTTGCCTTCCTAAGATAGGTATTTCGAGATATGGAGGCATTTGAAATATATTGGAGGGTTACCCTAGATTCTGTGGCCCAGCACGAAGCTGAACGGAGGAAGGCTAGACTTATGCCCCGATGCTTTCAGCCTGTCCTACCTAAAGGGTTGCAGTAGTGAAAGCATAGGTAGATTTAAAGTGCCTGTGCTTGTGGCATTGGACCAATGTAAATACGAGAACACAACCATCTTATCATGAGTGCACACTTTTCAGATTAATGAATTATAACAAAGGTTATCGTACGGGAAAACCAGCTGACTTGGTTTGTTACTGGTGAAATTTGACTATACTGTTGGTAACATCATATCATGACAAATACAAAATTGGCAAGAACTTTGAAACAAAATATGAACCGCATTCACAAATGACCGGCGTACCCATTTTTGAGTCAAAAAATACCACAAATTCTAACTACCGTGACCAAAATGACACAAGTTCGTCAAAGTCATCCATGGACAAGTTAGTGGCATCATTGCAGGCATCTGGTAAGAGCTCTCTACGCAATCGACAAGCGACTTTGATAACAACGTTTGCCTTCGATGTCCTACCAATCTGATAGAGAGCCGTCGCCTTTAAGAAGGTCGTTCGTGCTAGCTCTGGTTTGTAGACGTTTGCGTCGTAGCTCCAAGCTTGAAGAGCATCGTTGATCATGGAGCTGGAGTATTCAATAAACACACGTACTAAAGGGAGTGGAAATGTACCTACATGGCTTCATCGTGCTTACCAAAACGAATTAGATGCTCCGCAACTTTGTGTCCAACATCAGCCGTTCTGTGATGATGATGGATACCTATTGTATCACGGAACTGCTGGTAGGCCTGCTTGTGGCAACTGTAAGCCTCATTATCTCGACCTTGTAGGCTGCGCAGATTCCCTAAAGCGTAAAAAATACGACCCGTTCTTGCCACAGTTAACGGTAATGTTGTATATAGGGTTGAAGTTTTATACCCACCTAAAAGATTCTTTGTCATTCTTGCCGTATAGCCTCTCGCGAGTGATCAAACTTTCCCTAAGGATGAACTCCGCTGCGTCAAGCTTACCCTGCAGCATATAGACAAGCCCTAAATTTGCTTCACGGGATAACGGTACATAAGTACCAAGAGATATTCGTATTTCCTTTTCGCGCAGCAGGGCTGCCACTCCCTCTTCTAGCCGTCCATCCTGGATCCTGGATATGGCCAGCTCACTGTAGCACAGAGCGAGCCTATCATCAACGGTGCCAAGGCTGTCAGATATGGATTTCTGCAACCTGAAGGACTCTTCCTTATGTAGGCGGCTGGTCTCATGGTTATTAGTATCAGCGGCTATAGCGCCAAGGCAGAAGTGGATGTCGCTTAGGATGGCATCTCGATCATCACCCTCGAGGTCTCTACAAATGGATTGTGCCAGCTCAAAAAAACCATCAAAGTGACGCGTCTGTCCACGTTCGCTCTGGTACCTGCACAAGACTAAGCGGATAGCTTATATAGGGGAATATTGAATGAAGTGCTCACCATGCCCCATCGTTGAGAAGGGCAGCAAAATGTAGTTTCGTGGATGTGGAAGAAGGGGGAACTTGGGGCCACACTTGTTTGAGGGAAACGATATGCGGATACAATGCTGCACAAAGAGGCCAACGGCTCACCTCCAGCCGTTTGTTGCTAGCCTTGGGTAGATTGATGCATAAGGGCTTCGACGGTTTCGGCATGGCAGAGGGCCAGCTAACCCACAGACAGACTACAAGGATTCCAAATATGTTCATAATCTCCTGAGGGGCCATCTTAGCTCTAACGACATCCTGGACTAACCGATGCATCGATAATCGGTGCTCAGAAAGTTCATTTAGTTGCTTATCTCTTTTGGTCAATGATGATTGCAGGAGCTCAGTCCGTGCGGCTCGATAGACTTTGTTGGTGTATGTGTAGTCCGGAGAGAGCTGGGTGGCTGCTTCATATAAGATGTTTTCCTGGATATTGTCTGGATCCATGAGGGACATAATTTTCAATAAACCCCGAGACTCATCACTTAAGTCTTTCCAATGCCCAGACCGTGGCAATATTATATGTGTATGTGTTGTTACTCAAGTCGAATCGGGTACTGTGCAGGCCGGGATGTTCTTTTTCGTCTTCGTACAGCGCCAGAAACTCACTCAGACTCAGATCCTGTCGCTGTATGATACCTGCCATCTGAGATATCGCAAGTGGCAATCCACCAAGCTGACGTGAAATACATCTTGCAAGGCTCTTAGCGCCATCTTCGATACCATCATCGACAGCGGTTAGCTTCATTAGAAGAGTGCCACCG